TAGACAGGTTTACCTCCGGTCCTCAGCTGAGACACCGTATCACGTGGCCAGTAGCTGGATGCTGGCACACTTGTGAGAGAGACTCACCCTCCACCCCAGCCTGAGATGTCGATGAAGCTGTTTGTGTCTGGGATTGATGCAGCCACCCACCATTACAGGTCACAGATACCTTATCCACCCTCCTGGAGAGTTTGCCTAAGCTGCCATTACCACCCCCAACACTCATGACCAAGTGTCCAGGCAAGAAATGAGTAGGTGTGTGGACCAGGACATAGCAGGCCCAAGCTCAGGCAGGGTCCAGTAAGTGAAGCCCAGGGGCAGGGTTCAGCAGAAATCTTAACTAGCCCAGGCCTTTGCTTGTCTGCTTTCTCTTCCCCTGGACGCTTCTTCTTGCATTCTGGTCTGCTTCTGCAGGATTCTGGCTGGTCAAAGAGCAGCCTGAGATGACAGGAGGAGTTCTCCTACAGTCACAAGGTTCGGGTCTCCATGGGGGTCGCGGGCGGGGAGAGGGGAGTGGGGAGGGCAGTCCGGTGGGATGAATGCTGAATGGCAGAGGTGAACCGGTTTCTCCTCCAGTTGCCCGGCCCCTTCCCCACCTGTCAGACACACCCCTGAGGACACTGGGGGAAGCCGGTCCTCGCCACGCCCCCACCCGCCCCAGATCTCTTAGGGCCCGGAGGGACCGGCCCTGAGGGGGCATCTCCCACGCCTTACAATTCACAGAGGACCCGGGGGCCCAGCGGCCCAGCCCCTGCCCCGGCGCCACCCGAACCGGAGCCCCGCCCCACTCCCCGCCCACGGCCCCACCCCCTAGGGGACGTCACAAAAAAAGGCCCACAAAGCCCAGGCGAGCCGGTGGGATCACGCAGCCTTAGCTCTGCCCGCCTCCCCGCGCACAGGCGACGGCAGAGCTCGTGCAGGCGGAGGTGGCGGCAGCCTCCGGGGAGCCGGAAGCGCGAGGCGCCTGCGCGGCGCGGCGGGGCGGGGAGGAGACTCCGCTTCCCGACGTGCCCCGCGGGCGGGCGCGCAGGCGCGATCCGGACCCGGTGGTGGCGCGCGGGCGCATTCGAAGGCTAGGTGGTGGCGCGCAGGCGCACTCAGGACCCGGCGGCGGCGGCGCGCAGGCGTATTTGGGGTGGGTTGCGGGGGCCGGACCGAGGAGAGCGCCGGGCGGGCGGCGGCAGCGCCAGAGCGAGTGGAGCCACCGGGGGCCCCGAGCGGCGGCGGCGGCGGTGGCGGTGGCGGCGGCGGCGGTGGCGGCGGCGTAGAGGAAGAAGGCGGCGGCTCTCCCGCGGCCAGCGAGCAGCCCGGCCCGTCACGCGAACTCGCGGCGGCTCCGCGGCCCGGTGCGACGCCAGCCCCGGGCCCGTCCACCGCCGCCATGGCCCGGCCGCTGGTGCCCAGCTCGCAGAAGGCGCTGCTTCTGGAACTCAAGGGGTTGCAGGAGGAGCCGGTGGAGGGCTTCCGAGTGACGCTGGTGGATGAGGGAGACCTGTACAACTGGGAGGTGGCCATCTTCGGGCCCCCCAACACCTACTACGAGGGCGGCTATTTCAAGGTGAGTTGGGCCGCGCTGGCGGCGGCTCAGTTTCCCCTTTGTGTCGTGATCACCCTTCCCGCCCTCTGCCCGAGTCCTCCGCGGCCTCCCCCAGGGGTCTCTGGTGGGCCGCCAGTTCTCTCAAAGCAGCTCCAGATTCCCCCATCCGTCTCCGGGAGAGAAGGGGGCGGGACCCTCCCAGTTTGGCTCCGAAATGGGGCGCTTGTTGAATTAACTCTTGGGAAGGCGCTGTCTATGGCAGCTTCTTTCCTCCCCCCCCAACCCGAGCCCCACCCCGATCTAGCGAGCTCTGCTCTTGGGGAGAGTGGCCCCATGGGAAAGGAGGGGTAGTCGGGGTGAACTGGCTCCGCCACTTGCTCGGGTTCCAGCAGAAGCCCGGATGGGGCCTTGGCAGCCGGACCTGCTTGGAAAGTAGCCACCCTTGCCCATAGCAGCTGGCCAGGCCTCTGAGCCTCACCCTGGCTTTATGTAACCTGTTTCCTCGGATCGCCACGCCCACCCCTGTCCCAGGAGCCACGGTTCAGGACCCTGCCAAAGTCCTGGACCCTTGAGTGCTTACTGCAGAAGCTCAGGGCTCCTGTGTCACTTTTGACCAGCCTTTCTCAAGTTCCACTTAATACAGGCAGCTTCTTGGGTCGCCTTTCTTGCCAGTTTCCTCTGCCCTCTGGTGGTTTAAAGCCAACTGCTTGCCAGATTGTTAGAAGCAGGAAGCCTAGGGTGGTTCCTGGACTTGGCTGTGTTTTTGTCTGGTGTGACTGAAAACCAAGACCCCACATTAGGGGAAATTTTCTTAACTCACCATCTCAGCCCAGCGGTGTCCTTGAACTCCTCCTCTGTCAGGGTCTTAGGATCTTAGAAGAGCAAAATAAGGATCTAATGCCTTAGAAGTAGGGGTAGATGGGAGCAGGAAGTCACTGCCCTTGACTTCCTGGAAGCTAGGACTCACTGCCCTTGATGGACCCAGGCAGATAGATAACCTGTCTGCTTTGCACTTGGAGCAGATGTTTTGTTTTGGGTGATGGTTACTGGGGGCTTAAATTCAGGTCTTAGGTACTGTCCCTTAGCTTTTTTTCCCTGGCATTCTATCACTTGAGCCAGTTTTGCTTTCAGCTTTTTCAAAGGCGGTTAATTGGAGATAAAAGTCTAACAGACTTTTTCCTTTCTGGGCTAGTTTCTGAATCACGATCCTCAGTTCTCTACCTCCAGAATAGCTAGGATTACAGGTGTGAGCCACCTGTGTCCCGCTGGAGCAGATATTTTAAGCCACATGCTCTGTAGCAGGGAGAGTAGTTGTGTCCTCCAGTGGGGTGTGTTCCTCGTAAGTAGAGGTTCCAGTTATAAGATAGACATGAGAAGACGGTGGACAGCCTTTCCTCCCTACACTGGGACAGAATCTGAGCTGAGAAACTTCTGAGGTTGCCAGATGGTATGAGCAGTAACACCCCCTGCAGTTCCTTTTGTGTATTTTTGGGAGTAGGTGGCTGTAAGGATGAGGGCTCTGCTCATAGCATGGCTAGCTGCATTCCACCTTGAGGCCAGCCCAGAACTCCAGACAAAAAGCCTCAATCTGGCTGCTGCCCATTTGCAAAGGATTGTGGGTAGAGCCTTTAGGCTGGCATTTGGGAGATTATCTATACTTCTAGAAACAGCTGCTGTGGGGCCCTATTGGGTACAGATCACATCATGAGGTAGCATGGCACCCTCCTGTCTTCAGTGTGGGGTGTAGGGTGTGGGGGACCCTCTTGCCAAGTGAGTGTGGACACATGTGAGTTGTGGGTGCCCCAGCCACCATGTTCCCTAAGTACTTGCTGCAGTGCTTCTTCTCATCCAACCTCACCCACTTCTCTGTTAGGAGCCATAGCAGGTCCTTGAGGCAGAGGACAAGCCCCTGGTAGTGCCCAGTACTAAGAAAGGGAGAGAAAGCTTTCTCAGGCTCACTAGCCTTGTGTGACTAAGATGATTTTCTTCTCTGAACCTCAGCTTGCTCAGCCATGCAAGGCAACTCTGAGCTGGATGTTGATGGCTCATACCTGTCATCCTAACTGCTCAGGAGGCTGAAATCTGAGCATCATGGTTCTAAGCCAGCCGGACAGGAAAGTCCTTGAGACTCTTATCTCCAATTAAGCACCACAAAAGAAGTCGAGCTGTGTCTCAAGTGGTAGAGTGTTAGCCTTCAGCACAAAAGCTTGGGGACAGCACCCAGGCCCTAGGTGTTCAAGCTTTAGGACATATGCACAGGCAGGCGCGCACGCGCACGCTTGCGCGCGCACACACACACACACACACACACACACACGAACACAAACACTTCTGGGTCTTTTTGTTGTTATTTTGGTTTTTTGGTGTTAGTGCTGGGGTGTGAACTGACAGTCTTGTTTGGCTTTTCCATGATGGCTGGAGCTCTTCCCTGGAGCTCCATTCTGTCATTTTGCTGGTTAATTGGATATAATCTGCCTGGGCTAGCTTTGAGCCACAATACTCAGATCTCAGCTTCTTGTATAGCTAGGATTTAGGGGTGTGAGGCCAATGATGCCCAACTGTGTCTTGAGATTTTTTTGGGGGGGGGTCCAGTTGTGGGCCTGAACTCTGAGCCTGGGCGCTGTCCCTCAGCTCTTCAGCTCAAGGCTAGCGCTCTACCACTTGAGCCACAGCACCACTTCAGGCTTTTTTCTTTTTGCTTATGTGGTGCTGAGGAATCAAACCCAGGGCCTCATGCATGCAAGGCAAGCGCTCTACCACTGAACCACCTTCCCAGCCCCATGAGATGTTTAGAATAAGTACAGCCAGGCACTAGTGGCTCCAATGGCACACATTTGTCATTCCAGTTACCCAGTAAATAGTTGAATTGTGGTCTAGACTCAAAAAATAGCAAGATCCATGGGCTGGGAAGGTGGCTCAGTGGTAGTGCGCTTGATTTGCATGCATGAGGCCCTGGGTTCGATTCCTCAGCACCACATAAGCAGGAAAAAAAAAAAAGCTGGAAGTGGCATTGTGGCTCAAATGGTACGAGTGCTAGCCTTAAGCTGAAGAGCTGAGGGACAGTGCCCAGGCCCAGAGTTCAGACCCCATGACCGGACCCCCCCCCAAAAAAAAAAAGCAAGACTCATAGGTAGGTGGGGGAAGTATAACTCAGTCGTAGAAGGGCTGTCCACCAAGTTTGAGGCCCTGAGAGACCAAACCCCAGTACTGCCAACAACAACAAAACAGGTGTAGTGGGACTTGGTACAGAGAGGGTATTGCCCTTGCTTGTTGTTCCCAGGGATCCAGGCTTAGGAGCCAAGCCCTAAGCTTGAGAGAACCATTGGGCAGGTTCTCTGGCCCAAATTCCTGGATCACTGTGGCCACAGAGTTCTCCCCTCTTGGGCCTCACTCTCCATGAGAAACCCCACTCCCTGTGCCTTCCCTGCCCAGAGCTGGTGAGACCTGGCTTCTACTCTTTCCCTGAAAACATCCCAGGACCCTGGCAAGCAGCAGCTTCCTTGTTTACCTGCTGAGAGCTGGGAGGCAGTGGGTGGTGCCAACCTTGGCCTCAGGCTGAGCAGCTGGCGCCCAGGCAGGTGACTCACATCCGCCCCTTGTGGCCGCCCTTGGTCTGGGCAGCTGATGAGACGTGCTGACCTGGGATGATTCCCTGCTGGCTCATCTCCCCCCTTGGTCAGTCAGCTCCTAGCCAGGTGGACACTCTGCTGAGCTTAAACACCAGGTCCTAAGATAGATTCCCTTAGGGGAATCTACAGTACCCTCCTTGCTCCTACCAAACTTCCTTTCACAGATAGCTTTGCTGGCTGGTGCCTGAGGCCTGGGCTGCCTGGGACCTGATGGCAGGTACCCATCTTCTGGCTCCACCCCCCACCCTGTGGCTAGACCAAGCCTGGCTCCACCACCTAGACTTTGAGGGGGCAGTGATCAGCTTTTTAAGCACTTGATTGCAGGCCTCCTACATGCCTTGACCCAGATGGAGAGGCCCTTAGTTCTCACAGGCATCCACCCAACACGCTAGAGCCCAGACAGTGCTGGGCCTCTGTCACCCTGTCTGTGACGTATGGGGCTCTACAGGAGGACAAACAAGCCCACTTTCTACCATACACAGGCTCGTCTGAAGTTTCCCATTGACTACCCATACTCTCCACCTGCCTTCCGGTTCCTGACCAAGATGTGGCACCCGAACATCTATGAGGTGAGCCCCACCCCCGTCCCATGTGCCTCGCTCACTCCTGCCTCCCCATCCTCCTCCTTGCCAGTGCCTGCCTGCCTGCCTGCCAGCTTTGCCCTCCTCCAGACACATGCCTGACCCACATGCTTCCTGACATACCTGCCTTGCACGTGCCTCACCGCCCCCTGCACTTCCCTTCCCACTTCCCTCGCACACCTCCCTGCAGCCTTGCACTCTTGTTAAACCCTGGTGTTGGGAGCCCCAGAGCTGCGTCTGACCTGTGCACCCTCCTCCTCACAGACAGGGGATGTGTGTATCTCCATCCTCCACCCCCCAGTCGACGACCCCCAGAGTGGGGAGCTGCCCTCCGAGAGGTGGAACCCCACACAGAATGTCAGGTGAGGCTGGGCTCCCGCATGCGAGTGTGTGTGTTGCCTGGGTGCACTGTGGTGCTGGCTCGCCCCAGCCGCCAGCCATGCTTCCTGAATCCCTGGCTGGCCCCACATGTAGAATGAGCTTTCTTCCTCCCCCAAGTTGTGGTAGGCTCCCCATACAACACACTCCTGAGCCCATGCCAGCCGGACCCAAGGAGACCACCGCAACTCCTCCCTGCTCCGCCCCTGCTGCCCCGCAACACTCCCGAGGTGTGAGGCATCAGATGGGGCACCGGCCTGGGTGTCCGAGGTTGCCTGTGCCTCTGTCAGCTCTCCCTATGGCCTTGCCCTCTGACCTGCTGCTCCCCCAGGACCATCCTCTTGAGTGTGATCTCGCTGCTTAATGAGCCCAACACCTTCTCGCCGGCCAATGTGGACGCCTCAGTGATGTACAGGAAGTGGAAAGAGAGCAAAGGGAAGGACCGGGAATACACGGACATCATCCGGTGAGCGCGTGCTTCTGGGGCTTCCGGAGTAGGGCTGCCCGCTCCCGCAGTCCCCAGCCCTGCGCTGCTGGTGGGACACAAGAACCTGTCTGCTGGCCCTTAGGAAGACCCTTCTCCCCCCAGGTCAGGAGGGGCCCTGGAGTCCTCACCCCCACCATCCAGGTGGCCACCCAGTGTCTACCATGTTGCCACAGCTTCTCTCACAGCCACAGGCCCTGACTCACGTGGTCATCCCTCTACCCACCTCAGGATGGTGGCCTGTGTCATGCTCACTCTGTGCTGGCCTGTGTCATGCTTGCTCCGTGCTTGTGGATCCACGCCAGACTCTGCACTTTCTTCCCCTTCTCGGTCTTGTCGCTCAGCTTTGTCTTCACATGTGACCTCAGTCACACACTAGGCAATGATTTAATACTTTTCTGCCTAACCATCACTAGTTGCAACTTTGAAACTTGGAATGATTTTCAGAAGAGGAATGACTGGTGGCAGGTGTGTGCTTGAGCCGCCCTCCCGCTGTGGAAGCAGCACCTAGTCTTGGGGCTCTGCAGACCCTCTTGTCCTTGTCACACTGCCCCATTGCTTCCAGTCTCCCTGCCAGGAGCCAGCAAGTAGCACCCAAGAAGTAGGGTGTGTGGGAAGGCACCCTGCCCTCCTCTGTCCTCCTTGTTCTGTCTTGCTGCCATCTCTAGCTGCTCTGTCTCCATCAGCCACCATCACAGTTCGGTGGAGTTTACTGTTTTCAGTGAGGGTTTTGGTATGTGGTGCTGGGTTTGGAATCAAGGCCGAGCACATCCTAGGTAAGATCTCACCACTGAGCATACCCCAGTGCTACTGGCTTGATTTTTTTGTTGTTCATTTTTTTTCCATGTTTTTATTTTTTTTATTTTATTTTTCTTCCCAGATACTTTTTTTTTTTTTTTTTGGGTCCGTTCGTGGGGCCTGAACTCTGGGCCTGGGCGCTGTCCCTCAGCTCTTCAGCTCAAGGCTAGCACTCTACCACTGGAGCCACAGCGACACTTCCGGCTTTTTTTTTTCCTATATATGTGGTACTGAGGAATCAAACCAAGGCCTCAAGCATGCAAGGCAAGCGCTCTACCACTGAGCCACCTTCGCAACCTCAGATACTTTTTTTTTTACCTTTCAAACAGCACTTCACACCTTGTGTTCCATTCTTTATTGTACCCAAGAGGAAGGGAGGCTCTTCTACACCAGCACTGACCTGACCTGAAAATGTGCACAGGGGCTTTGTTGTTCCCATGCTGGCAGCAGCCCAAGTGTAGTTGGCAAGGGAAGCGTGCACAAACGCCTGGCCCGGACCAGCCCATGTGACCCACTGTCGTGGGAAGTCAGGCCAAGCATGTCAGCAGATGGGATGAGGGGGCTAAGTGAGGTCACTGTGTGCGGGTCAGAGCTCCTCACGTACCACAGACATTGGTGGCTCACAGTCTGGGAGTGGCACTGCTGTACGAGAAAGCAGGTCGTGCACGTACAAATAGAGGTGAGGAAATCCACTCCTAATCCCTGTGCCTGGCAATCAAGACTTTGGAATCTTCCCAGACTTCTCAAAATGTATACATGGTGCTTGCCTAACATTTGTGAGGCCCTACCACCCAAGGGAATAACAATTTATGTATACGTTTCTCCTCAGAAATGGCTACCTGCAATTTTCCTAGTTGTTGCCAGTACTGATGCATGATCTTAGGCCCTGGGGACTGCCCTAGTTATTTTTGCTCAAAATTGGCACTCTACCACTTGAGCCATACCATTTTCCTGGTTAATTAGAGAAAAGACTCTAGTATTTGCCTGGGCTGGCTTCAAACCACAGACAGATCTCAGCCTCTTGAGTAGCTACTGTTATAGGCCAAACCACCAGCACCTGGCGTAAGCAGAGTATTTTTAAGCTTGAAATACCATACATGGACACCTGTGCTCCACATGCCCTTGCCTACACACGGGGTCCCAGGGCCACACGTGTGTGCATGCAGCAGCTCCAGCCTTCCCACCATCGGGCAGCGTGACTTGGCACCTGGTGTTCTGGGCAGCCATCCCTGGCTGGGCGTCACTGCTGGCAGGCAGGGCTGTGGGTGCAGGGGGCTTCGGAATGGCTAGATGGACGCCACCTGCACTGGTCACCCTGAATGCCCTGCAGTCACTTGCCACTGTGGTACCTGCTCTTGGTCCATGGTCCAGGACAGTTTCCCAGCGGGTCCCTGGCCCGCATGGCTGGCCATTGGCCCAGTTCTTACCAGCTTGAGTCTCCCTATCTCCCCACAGTGCCCCCCATCCCCCTCCCAGCAGAAATAAACAGCTGACTATTTTTACCTTAGAGCTCCCTGGGAGCCACTCACATGTCCCCACGTGGCGGGCTGCAGCATGCATGCCTCTGCCCTGCTCAGGCCAGGAGATGGCGCCTGCGGAGCCATGACTGGGTTTGCTTCAAGCTGCTGAGCAGCTCGTGGGGTAGAGGCTTGGGAAAGCCAGGGTTGCTGGAGCGTGCCTCTCCTTTTACAGTCATGTATAGGGCTAAGGAGGGAGCCCCCTCCCCTGGGGGGGGGATGAGATCTCCCCCTAAGGTGTCATCACAGGTGCCCTCAAGTGCAGGTCTCCCACATGTTTTCTGTAGGAAGCTGCTGGGCAAAGGCTGGGATCCCTGGGCTCTTCCCATGTTCTGCTGCCTGGCCTCACAGGTGGTGCTGCTCCTGTTCACAGGCCCTCACCTAGGTGTCCTGGCGCTGGGCCAGGCCCATCCATCCTCCCAGCCTTGCTTTTGGCTTTGGTGGTTCTGAGGCGGGGGTCTCACTGTGGTAGCCTCTGTCCTCGTGTGGCGTGTCCTGTATGTAGGCTGAGCGTGTGGGTAGAGTGGCATTAGGCCAAGCCCCTGGCTGCCTTAACTCCTGTCTGCTCTGCTTCCCACCAAGTCTGGATGGGAGTCTGGACAGGGCTGGTGCCTCGAATCTTCACAGCAGGCCGCCATAGCCATGGCCCGCTGCCCAGTCTCCTGCCATTCTAGTGGCTCTGGGGCTGAGTTCACAAAGCCAGCTCCTGCCGTGCCTGTCCTTAGACCCAGCCGCCTAGCTCCTTGCGCAGGGAAGAGCAGGCTGTGCTTAGCACATTTGTGGCTGCACTGTCAATGCCTGCCTGGCGCCCTCACCTGCCCTGTCCCCGCAGGAAGCAGGTCCTGGGGACCAAGGTGGATGCAGAGCGCGACGGGGTGAAGGTGCCCACCACGCTGGCCGAGTACTGCGTGAAGACCAAGGCACCAGCCCCCGACGAGGGCTCCGATCTGTTCTATGACGACTACTACGAGGATGGCGAGGTGGAGGAGGAGGCCGACAGCTGCTTTGGGGATGACGAGGATGACTCCAGCAACGAGGAGTCCTGACGCCGTGGCCCCCGCCCAAATAAACTTACAAAATTTTACCTCACTAGGACGGACCCGTGTGGCTCTCAGACCACAGACTACCTCACGGGGGCGTGGGGGCGCGTCCCCTCCCCGGGTGGTGGCCGTTAGGTTTTCTCCTCCCTCCCGTGTCTGTTCCTGGGTTTTCCTCGGCGTCTGAGAAGAGCAGTGCCCGCCGCCCTCACTCGGGCTCCCAGGCCAAGGACGGGGCGGGCGGGCCCAGCCTGGATCCAGAGACTCTGCCCAGCCCAGGAGTGGACAGATCACCCGTGGCCACCTCTTCTCTGCTTTGGTTTGTTTGAAATTAAATAAAACTGCTTTATGAGGAGGCAGACAAGGTCTCCTTGGGGTGGAGAGGTGGTCTCCACACTGCTGACCCGCTCGAAGCCTCGATGGCAGGCTCTTGCGGGGTCTGGGGTCTGAGCAAGGAATCCTGGTGAAGCCAGCCCAGAAGCCAGGTCCCTGCCCCCTGCTTCCCACGTGTGGCCCAGGTCCAACGGCTTGGGGTTGTCAGCAAGCTACTGGTGGAAGCTTCCGACCTCTAGCCATGGCGGAAGGAAGCGGCTCACTTTGCTTCTTAATCAGCTTGTGCCATGTAAGGGCTGAAGACAGTCTTGAGGTTCCAAGGGCTGGAAAGGATCCTCAGAGAGGTGACTGCTGCTGCGGCTGCCTGCAGTCCTCCAGCCCTCAGCCTGTGTCTACCTGGCTGCTCTCAGGAAGCTCCGGGCCTCTTTTTTCGAGTATATGCTAATAGCACAAAAGAGTTTTGTGATAAATGTATACATGTGTGTATTGTACTTGGATCAAATTCATCCCTGTTCCTCCCCACCCCCGCGTCACTCAGGCCTCCTGTAACACAAATGGTAGACACACGATTAGGACAGATGGGGACTCTTATCGAGAATTGAGCTCCGCCTCAGCTTCCTTGACCGTGGTGGCTTCATGTAGCTGACGGCCAGGGCCATGAGCATGGTTTGGCCAGTTACTGTGGCAAAGGACTGTGGCTGCATTGGCTGGAGCCCCTCCCAGAGTCGGGTACATGACAAACCTGAGGGCCCTCCAAATGGCCAGGCCCCTGACCACAAAGTAGGACAGGGCTGGTTTTGCAGTTTGGTCACTGCAGTTTTGTCTTTAGGTTGTGAGTTTTGCCCTGTGTGCACACGTGTTGCACGTGAATGCACGTGTGCCAGTGTCAGTGCCAGTCCTGGAACTTGGGCTTGAGCACAGTCCCTGAGCTTTTGTGCTCAAGGTTGGTGCTCTACCACTTGAACCACAGCTCCATCTGGCTTGTTGGTAGTTAACTGGAGATAAGAGTCTCACAGACTTTCTTGTCTATCCTCAGATGTCAGTGTGGGGTACTTAGGATTACAGGTGTGAGCCACTGGCACCTGGCTTGTCCTTTGGAGGTTCTGGGGAAGCAGAGTCACACTGTGTAGCCCAAGACCAGCCTGAAAATCCTAATTCGGCTTTCTCCCAAGTGCTGGGATTACAGGTGTGTATTACCACACCTGGCCAACAATATTGATTGATTGATTGATTGTCAGTCACAGGGCTTGAACTCTGGAGCTGGACGCTGTCCCTGAGCTCTTCAGCTCAAAACGAACACTCTACCACTTGAGCCGCACCACCACTTCCAGTTTTTTTGGTGGTTAATGGGAGATAAGAGTCTCATGGAGAACCGGGCGCCGGTGGCTCACGCCTGCAATCCTAGCTACTCAGGAGGGTGAGATCTGAGGATCCCAGTTCAAAGCCAACTCGGCAGGAAAATCCGTGAAACTCTTATCTACAATAAAACCACTAGAAAACTAGAAGTGGCGCTGCAGCTCAAGTGGTAGAGCGCTAGCCTTAAGCTGAAGAGCTGAGGGACAGTGCTCAGGCCCAGAGTTCAAGCCCCATGACTGACAAAAAAGTCTCATGGAGGGCTAGGAAGGTGGCTCAGTGGTAGGGTGCTCGTCTTGCATGCATGAGGCCCTGGGTTTGATTCCTCAGTACCACATAAGCAGAAAAAGCCAGAAGTGGCTTGAGCTGAAGAGCTCAGGGACAGTGCCCAGGCCCAGAGTTCAGGCCCCACAACTGACACACACACACAAAAATCTCATGGACTTTCCTGCCTGGTCTGGCTTTGAACCATGATTCTCAGATCTCAACCTCCTGAGTAGCTAGCATGGGCACCCAGCTGACAGCTTTGCTTTTTTTTTTCTTTTTGCTGGTCCTGAGGCTTGAACTTGGGGCCTGAACACTGTCCCTGACCCTATTTGTGCTCAAGCCTAGCACTCTACCACTTGGTTAATTGGAGGTAAGAATCTCATACTTTCCTTCCCAGGTGAGCTTTGAACTATGAACCTCAAATCTCAGCCTCCTGAGTAGCCAGAGTTGTAGGTTTGAGCCACCAGTATTGGGTGAACCCAAACATTCTCTTACCTAACTTCTGTGTGATTCTTGTATTGCTTAGGTTTTGTTGGCTGTCCCAATGATGGTATATTTACTTCCTTTCCTTCCCTTTCTTCCTTTCTTTCTTGGCTGGAACTCAGGGCCTGGGCACTGTCCCTGAGCTGCTTTTGCTTAAGGCTAGTACTGCTGTAGTCACAGCATCACTTCTGGCTTTTTCTGTTTATTTGGTACTGAGGAATCAAACCCAGGACTTCATGCAAGCTAGGCAAGCACTCTACCACTAAGCCACATTCCCAGCCCCCATTTTTCTGTGTTTGTACATGCAGAGTATTCATCCTGGGAAGATAAGAAAGTTCTGGAAATGGATGATGGTGGTGGCTGCACAGCCTTGTGCAAAAGCTAAGCCTTTGAGCTTTATTTGTAAAAATGACTAAGAAGGTAAATGTATCTTCTCACAAGAAAAAAAGCTGAGATGGTGGTATAAGCCACCCAGCACTTAGGAGGCCAAGGCAGGAAGATTTGATTTCCTGCCAAATCGGGGTTATTACAATGTGACTTGTCTCAAAAGAAAAAAAAAAGGGCCAGGCACAGTGGCTCATGCCTGTAATCCCAACCACTCAGAGGCAGAGATCTAGAAGATTATGGTTTGAGGGGGGAAAAGTAGGCAAGAGTCCTCACCTAAAAGCAGTAAAGCAAGCTAGGGCTAGGGGAGCAGCTCCAGTGGTAAAATTAGTAAAGTATAAAAAGAAAGCATGGGGCTGGGAATGTGGCTCAGTGGTAGAGTGCTTGCTTAGTATGCATGAAGCCCTGGTTCAATTCCTCAGTACCACATACACAGAAAAGCCCAGAAGGGATGATGTGGCTAAAAACAAACAAAGCATGTATTAAAATGCCTAGCAAATGTGAGGGCCTGAGGTCAAATCCCAGAGTTGCTTTAAAAATGGTGCTGGGGGTATAGTTCTGCAGCACAATTGTCTAGCACATACCAGGCCCCGGGTTCCAATCCCAGTGACCTCCCTCCTCCCCCAAGAAAAATCAAGTTATAGCTATGTACTAGTGGCTCATGCCTGTAATCCAACTACTCAGAAGGCTGAGATCTGAGAATTGAAGTTCGAAGCCAGCCTGGGCAGGAAAGTCTGTGAGACTCATCTCTAGTTAACCACCAGAAAACTGGAAGTGGTGGTGTGGCTCAAAGTGGTAAAGTGCTAGCCTTGAGCAAAAGAGCTCAGGGACAGCACCCAGGCCCTGAGTTCAAGCCCCATGAATGGCATGCACGCATGTGCATACGTATACACACACACACACACAAAGTCATACTAAATATCACACAGTAACATAGGATGGAGGATTTGGTAAATACTTGGGTAATTGTGAGACTGTGACCTTTTGTGGTTGATGAGGATTTTGTCTCCAGTGCGTGTGCTTAGAAGCAGTGAGCTGCTTATGAGTAAAGTGAGCCAGCCATAGGTGGAGTTGTCGCCTGGTGTACAGGGTGGAGCTGTGAATGTCACTTGTGCCCACAGGATGGGGACAGGGGACACACACCCTGCAGCAAGATGGAGGCTCGCTGGTTCCTGCTGCTGCTGCTTGCCTTGGGGGCACTGTGGGCAGGTGAGGGGGGAGCTGGGAGCATGATGGGGAAACTGAGGCCTAGAGCTCAGGGTTGGAGGGAGGTGGTCTTGAATGGGAGAGCAGTAGATGTGGGAATCCTAGGTCTGAGTGAAGAAGTAGGAAATAAACCAGGCACCAGTGACCAGGCCTGTAATCCTAGCTACTCAGGAGGCTGAGATCTGAGGATCAGAGTTTGAAGCCAGCATGGGCTGAAAAGTTCTTTAGAATTCTCTCCAATTAACCACCCAAAAGCCTTCTGGCTTTTAAGAGAATGTACAAGAAGCCTCTTGTACACCGTTAATAACATTAAGAACAGGAGGGGTTGAAGGAGGAAAGTTTTGCTTGTACTTGTCCATCGCTTTGCTTCTTGAGCTAGGGTCTCAGTCTGCAGCCAAGGCTGGCCTTGAACTCCAGATCCTTCTGTTGTTCAGCCTTCTGGTGAAGGATAACACTCACGTACCACAAGGCCTGACTCCAACTTGGTGCTTTACATTTTTTTGTGCCATCCACATAAAATATAGGAAAACAGCAGTGGGTTTTTTGTTCTTGTTTGGATTGGATTTTTCTATCAGTAATGAGGCTTGATTTCAGGGCCTTCATGCTCTTGCTCAGCTTGCTTGCTCACAGCTGGTATTCTACCAATTGAGTCATACCTCCAATCAGGCACTTTGCTATTTTGGAGACAGTCTGAGGAAATTTTCTACCCAAGCTGGCTTTGAACCTAGATTCTCAGATCTCAGCTTCCTGAATAGCTAAGATTACAGGTGTGAGCCACAGGGTTCCGGGAGTGTTTTTGATATATGGAGACAAACATGGGGTTTAGAAGCTGTGAACCAGGGCTGGGGGTTGTTTGTGACTCAAAGTGGTAGAGTGCCTGCCCAGCAAGTGTGAGGCCCCAAGTTCAAGTCCCAGTATTCCAAAAGGAAAAGTGCCTTATAGCTAAATAGGGATGACATCCAGACCATCAGCTACCATGACAAGAAACGTAAACTTCCTGACCATGTTAACTTGATTCTGGGCTTACAGAAATTATAGAGCATTGCCTAGTGAGCTCATTTCACCCTCAGCTGAGGACATTTTACCACAGTGGCACTTGCGTGTGCATGTGCTTGTGTGTGTGTCTGTCTGTCTGTGTCTGTCTCTGGGTCTTGTCTATTTTGAGCCACTTGAGAGTGAGCTATGGGAGCAAACTACACTCCTCAGTGCTACCATGTGTTTTTTTTTTTTTTTTGTGAGAATACCATACAGAGGACTTACAATTACATGGGCAATACCATGTGTTTTCTGAACCCAGACAATCATGTGTGTGTGTTGTGTGTGTGTGTGTGTGTGTGTCCCTCCCTCCCTCCTTTCTTCCATCCTTCCTTCCTTTCTTCTTGGCTTGAACTCAGGGCCTGGACACTGTCCCTGAGCTGCTGCTTTTGTTCAAGGTTAGCACTTTACCACTTGAGCCACAGCCCCACTTCTGGCTTTTTCTGTGGATGTGGTACTGAGGAATGGAACCCAGGGCTTCAGGCATGCTAGGCAAGCGCTCTACCACTGAGCCATACTCCTAGCCTCTTTCATCAATTGTAGCACTTAAACTCGGGGTCTGGGTGCTGTCCCTGAATTTTTTTCACTCAAGGATAGTGCTCTACTACTTCCAGCCCCCAGGCCACTTCTGGTTTTCTAGTGGTTAATTGGAGATGAGTGTCTACAGATTTTCCTGCCCCAGATGACTTTGAACCTCAATCCTCAGATCTCAACCTCCTGAGTAGCTGGGATTACAGGCGTGAGCCACCAGTGTAGCACCCAGCTATCTACTTATTTTTTATTTTGATTTACTTATTTACTTATTTTTGATGGTGAGGTTGGAACTCAGAATCTTGCTCTGGCTAGATAAGTATTCACTAAATCATACCCTAGACCCTTTTCTTGGCTTTGGTTATTTTTTAGGTAGGATTTCATAGTTTTTGCCCAGATCATCTTAGACTTTGAACATCCTACTTCAACCTCCCTCATAGCTGGGATTATAGCCATGAACTACAACACAAGGTTTGCTAGTTGAGATGGAGTCTCACTGAATTTTGCTTAGGTACTACTATCATTCACATTTCTGTGTCAAATAGCTGGGATTAAAGGCATGAGTCTGCATCAGGCCTCAGTGATCCTTTATAGGGAGAGAAGTTGCATAGTTCAGGGTGTGGGAATGATGGGCCCTCCCTGCCTGAGGCCCTTTTGCTGCTTCCTTGGAGGGTTTTAGTCTGTGCCAGTGGCAGGATGTCATGCTCTTACTGCCCAGGTGTCAAGGGTACCCACCAGCTCTCTGGCTGAAACTATAACTTGGCTGGTCACTAGTGGCTCACACCAGTAATCCTCAGTACTCAGGAGGCTGCAATCGAGGATCACAGTTCAAAGCCAGCCGAGGCAGGAAAGTCTGTGAGATTCATCTCCAATTTACATCCAAAAAGCCACAAGTAGTGCTTTGGCTCACATGGCAGAGTGCTATCCTTGAGTGAAAAACTCAAGGACAGAGCCTAGACCCTGAGTTCAGGCTCCAGGACCGGCACGCACGCACGCGCACTGCTTTCCCTTTCCCTTTGCCTTGAGGAGAAACATTGACCTGCAGGGCCCTCTTGTGCTCCGTGGCTCTCCCACAGCTGCTGTCGTGGGGTGACGCGGCTGTCCTGCTCATCGCTGATGGAGGGGAAGCTGAGGCTCAAGGAATAAAGAAAACTGCCAAGGCTGGGCACGGGTGTTCACACCTTGGAATCCAGCCACTTACGAGGCCAAGATCTCAGGATTTCAATCCAAAGACATCCTAGGCAGAAATCCATAAGACTTTTTTTTGTCCAAGACCAGAATCAAACTGGGTGTTTTCTGCTTTGGCTCTTTATTTTTATTATTTATTTTTTTTTGGGGGGGTCCAGTCATGGGGCCTGAACTCTGGGCCTGGGCGCTGTCCCTCAGCTCTTCAGCTCAAGGCTAGCGCTCTACCACTTGAGCCACAGTGCCACTTCCGGCTTTTTTCTTTTTGCTTATGTGATTCTGAGGAATCAAACCCAGGGCCTCAGGCATGCAAGGCAAGCACTCTACCACTGAGCCACCTTCCTAGCCCCTGCTTTTGCTCTTTGGTTAACACTCTACCTGGTGCAGTATACCTCCAACACACCCTCCCCAGTTTTTTCGTGGGGTTTGAATTCAGGACCTGGGCACTATATCTGAGATCCTCTGCTCAAAGCTAGTACTCTACCACTTGAGCCAGTGGTGGTTCATTGGAGATAAGAGTCTCAGGGAGGGCTGGGAAGGTGGCTCAGTGGTAGAGCGCTTGCCTTGCCTGCATGAGGCCCTGGGTTCAATTCCTCAGCACCACATAAGCAAAAAGGAAAAAAAGCTGGAAGTAGTGCTGTGGCTCAAGTGGTAAGAGCACTAGCCTTGAGCTGAAGAGCTGAGGGACAGGGCCCAGGCCCAGAGTTCAGGCCCCAGCTTTTTTTTTTCTTTTTGCTTATGTGGTGCTGAGGAATCGAACCCAGGGCCTCATGCATGCAAGGCAAGCACTCTACCACTGACCCACCTTCCCAGCCCTCCATGAGTCTCTTATCTCCAATGAACCACCAGAAAACTGAAAATGGCATTGTGGCTCAAGTGGTAGAGCGCTCGCTTTGAGCTGAGCAGCTCAGGAACAGCGCTCATAAGAGTGCTCGCTTCGGCCGCACATACACTAAAACATGATGAGAAATGAGGAAGGTTTTTCAGCTGATTCTCATGATCCCTTTTTATCAATTCCTTAAATGATTGTTTTAAATAATTTTAGCCAGGCCAAGTGCTGGTGGCTAACGCATATCTCAGGAGAATGAACTAGATCTAGGTTCAAAGCTAGCCCGGGTCAGAAAGTCTGAGACTCTTATCACCAGTTAACCTCCAAAAGGCCAGAGGTGGCGCAGTGGCTCAAGTGGTAGAGCACTTCCCTTGAGCAAAAAGGCTCAGGGACAATGCACAGGCCTGAGTTGAAACCCTAGGACCAACACACACACACTAGAAAAATTAAATCTACAGTTGTGATAGGCTTGTGGAGAAATAATTCACATGCTATACAATCCACACATCCAGTTTACAGGTCTTATTTTTAGTGCTTTTCTAATTCTAGAACATTCTATGATACACACACAAACACAAAAACATTCCTATCCTATGAGACCGTATATCAACAGAATAAACCAGACATGGAGGCACTTGCTTGCTGCCCAGGAGGCATAGGTAAAACAATCATGGTCTGAGGCAAGAGAAATGCAGGCCGAAGCCAGAGGATCAGGGTCAGAGGCTGGCCCTGGGAGCCAAGCAAGAGACTCCATCTAAAACTAACTAATGGACCAAGGCCTGAAGGCATAACTTATGCAATTTTAAGGCTGTGAGTTTAAACCCCATCTCCTCTCCAGCCCTGAAACCTACAAATCTACTTCTGGTCACTGGATTCATCTGTTCCAGATGTTTCCTGCCAAGGAAGCCCCACATTGCCGGGCCCTCTGTGTCTGCTGCTCTCACGGAGCATTGAGTCCTCAAGTCCTTTTGCATTATAACATCAGTCACAGCCCTTGTTCAGGGCTGTGTGATGTTCCAACGTGGACGGAGTGTGCTGTGTGCTTCGTGTCTATGGAGGAACACTGCAGGTTATCGTGATGCATGCCACTGTGCACCAGGCTGTTCAGGTGTCCTGTGGATAAAGCACTGTGTCTTTTGGGCACAACCACAGGGCCAGAATCTCTGGGTGTTTGGCACCCACTACCTATGACTGACTTTGTTTATATTGCTTGTATTAAGGTCTCCTGCTTGTTCAACTGGCACTTAGCCACTTGAGTCACACCTCCAGCACAACTTTTTGCTGGTTAATTAGACATGAGTGGGTTACCCTCACTCCTGTAATCCTAGTTACTCTGGAGGCTGAGATCTGAGGATTGCAGTTCAAAGCCAGCCCGGGCAGGAAAGTCTGTGAGATTCTTATGTCCAACGAACCATCAGAAAACTGGAAGTAGCACTGTGGCTCAAATTGGTAGGGCACTAGGCTTGAGCTGAAGAGCTCAGGGACAGCGCCCAGGCCCAGAGTTCAAGCCCCACGACCACCACCAACAACAAAAAAGGATTGGATTACCCAGCTTCTACCTGCTTGACCTTGAACTGAGATCCTCTGAATCCCAGCTTCCTGAATAGCTAGGATTATGTATCAGACCTATTGGTGCCAGATTATGATGGATTTAATTGTGTGTGTGTGTGTGCACACGTGTGTGCGCATATCCATGCACAAGTCCATGTACCTGTACTGGGGTATAAACTCATGGTCTCAAGCTCTCCCTTTTTTACTCAAAGTTGGTGTTCTACTACTTGAGCCATACCTCCACATCTGACTTTTTGTGGTGGTTAATTGGAGACAAAATTCTCATGACTGGGCACTGTAATCCTAGCTACTCAGGAGGCTGAGATCTGAGGATCACGGTTGAAAGCCAGCCCAGGCAGGAGAGTTCATGAGACTCTTTTTTTTTTTGGGGGGGGGTCCGGTTGTGGGGCCTGAACTCTGGGCCTGGGCGCTGTCCCTCAGCTCTTCAGCTCAAGGCCAGTGCTCTACCACTTGAGTCACAGTGCCACTTCCGGCTTTTTTCTTTTTGCTTATGTGGTGCTGAGGAATCAAACCCAGGGCCTCATGCATGCAAGGCAAGGGCTCTACCACTGAGCCACCTTCCCAGCCCCTCATGATACTCTATCTCCAATGAACCACCAAAAAATTGGAAGTGGTGCTGAGGCTTACGTGGTCGAGTACTTGCCTTGAGCTGAAGAGCTCAGGAACAGCACTCAGGCCTAGAGTTCAAGCCCTATGAAAGTGGCTCAGTGGTAGAGTGCTTGCTTTGCATGCATGGGGCCCTAGGTTTGATTCCTCAGCACCACAGAAGCAGAAAAAGCCAGAAGTGGGGCTGTGGCTCAAGTGGTAGAGTGCTAGCCATGAGCTGAATAGCTGAGGGACAGCGCCCAGACCCGAGTTCAGGCCCCATGACCACCAAAAAAAAAAAAAGGTCTCATGGACTTTGCTGCCTGGGCTGGCTTTGAACCTGGATCCTCAGATCTCAGTCTCCTGAGTAGCTAGGATGATAGGCATGAGCCTTTTTTTTTTCTTTCTATCAGTTGCAGGGCTTCAACTCAGGGCCTGGGCACTGTCCCTGAGCTTTTCTGCTCAAAGATAGTGCTCTACCACTTGAAGCACAGCTCCACTTCAGGCTTTTTGGTGGTTGTTTGGAGACGAGACTCACAGACTTTCTGTTCGGGCTGGCTTCAGACCGTGATCCTCTGATCTCAGTCTCCTGAGTAGGTAGGATTACCAGCGTGAGCCACCAGTGCTCAGCATGATTGACGTTTTAAACCTCACCAGTGGCTGCTGAGCAGAGGATAGGACTTAGAATGGGGAGCAGGTCAAAGATGGAGGCCGTAGGGGGCTTGCTTATGATGACACCTCAGTGGTGTTCAGGGTCTCTGCGTGGAGTGGGCACATGAGCCCTCACTGGGCCTATCTGTTTTCCTTCCCCAGCTAGCGATTCACTGGAGACCAAAATCATTGGAGGTCATGAAGTCACCCCCCACTCTCGTCCCTACATGGCTTCACTGCAGAAAGCTGGCTCACACCTATGTGGGGGGGTCCTGGTGGACCGCCAGTGGGTGCTGACCGCAGCCCACTGTCTGAGAGCACCGTGAGTACTCCCTCCTCTCTGTCCCCAGGTGCTCCATTCTCCATTCCTCCCGGACGGCTGATCCTGAGGGATTTGGTTCCTACCTTGGGGATGGCTGAGGCCGGGGGCGCAGAGGGGCTCCATGCGCTGGCCTTCTTCCAACTAGAAACATAGAAATTTGTGTTCCCTGGGGTCACCAGAATAATATGGCCTGCCAGAGGGGCAGAGCCAACATCAGAGGAAACTGAGTCTCTGACATCATCAAAGAGCTACTAAAGAGAAGCTAGGTACCGTGGCTCACACCTGTAATCTTAGCTACTCAGGAGACAGTTCGCAAGATTGTGATTTGAAACCAGCCCAAGCAGAAAAGTCTGTGAGACTCTTATCTCCAATTAGCCAGCCAAGTGATAAAATGCAAGTTTTGACTAAAAAAAAAAAAAGGTGGGTGGCTATAATAATCCTACCTACTCAGGAGGCTGAGATGTGAGGATCACAGTTCAAAGCCAGCCTGGGCAGGAAAGGCCAGGAAACTCTTATCTCCAATTAACCACCAGAAGACTTGTAGTGGTGCTGTGTTTTAAGTGGTAGAGCACTCACCTTGAGCTGAAGAGCTGAGGGACAGTGCCCAGCCCCAGAGTTCAAGCCCTACAACCAACAACAACAACAACAAAAGAATCTCACAGACTTTTCTTCCTAGACTGGCTTTGAACCACCATCCTCAGATGTACCTAGAATAACAGGTGTGAGCCACCCCCACCTGGCCTGGTCTATCCTTTTGTTTTGTTTTGTCGGTCTTGGAGCTTGAACTCTGGGCTTGGGAGCTATCCCTGCGCTCTTCAGCTCAAGGCGAGCACTCTACCACTTGAGCCACAGCGCCACTTCAGGTTTACTGGTGGTTTATTGGAAATAAGAGTTTCACGGACTTTCCTGCCCAGGCTGGCTTTGAACCCTGATCCTCAGATCTCAGCCTCCTCAGTAGCTAGGATTACAGGTGTGAGCCACCTGCGCCCAGCCTTTTTTTTTTTTTTTTTTTTGGCCAGACCTCGGGCTTGGGGCCTGGGCACTGCCACAGCACCACTTCCAGCTTTTTCTGTTTATGTGGTACTGAAGAATCGAACCCAGAGCTTCATGCATGCTAAGCAAGAACTCTACCACTAAGCCACATTCCCAGCCTGGGGTGGGGAGTGGGGATGTCTGTCCCTTTGATTCTGCTCCATCCACAGGATACAGCTGCTGAGGCTGGTTCTGGGCCTCCATGGCCTCCACGATCGCCATGACCCCGGCCTCACCTTCCACATCAAGGCCGCTGTCAGGCACCCAGGCTTCAAGCCGAATCTGGAGAATGACCTCATGCTGCTGAAGGTGTGTGGATGGAGGGGGCAGAGGGCCTGCCATGGGGACCCGTCTGGCCCTACCCTGCACATTACTGCCCCTCCTGTCCTGCCACAGCTGGATGGAAAGGTGAAACCCAGCAGGACCATCCAGCCCCTGGCGGTGGCCAGAAGGCGCCGTGCCATACCAGCAGGCACGAAGTGCAGCGTAGCCGGCTGGGGAGTGACCCACCCCACTGGGCGCCTGGCCCTCAGGCTGCACGAGCTGGATGTCCGTGTGCTGCATGCCAAGATGTGTAACAACAGCCGCTTCTGGAATGGAAACATCACCCACCACATGCTCTGCCTGGCTGCTGATGCCAAGGACCAGGCTCCCTGCAAGGTTCTGAGTGGTGGGCATTCGGGAGAGCCCAGGCTGGCAGGGTTGCCTGGCTAGAGTCCCAGCTGAGCCAAGACCAGACCCTGAGTCTCATTCCTTAGGGAATCCAAGAGGACAAGACTTAACAAGAATACATTAAAACACTGGGACCTAGCCAGGCGCTGGTGGTTTACACCTGTAATCTTAGCTATTCAGGAGGCTGAGATCTGAGGATTATGGTTTGAAGCCAGTCCAGGCAGAAAAGTCTGGGTGACTTATCTCTAATCACCAAAAAGCTAGAAGTGGAACTGTGGCTCAAACAGTAGCATACTACTCTTGAATGAAAAAGCCAAGTGACAGTGAAGATCCTTGAGTTTAAGTTCCAGTACTGGCCCCCAAAACTAACCAAACCAAAAACAAAACCGCTGAGGTACAAGTCACCTAGGGCCTCACCCTCAGGAAACAGCAAAAACCCCAATATGAACTCTAGTACCATAGAATAGACAATCTGTGCAAATGCCCTGGGGTGAGGAGGAGCAGAAATACCATCAGATTACAAAGGAAGAAAGGAAAAGGGAACAGACTCAGCTGTCTCCTTAGACACAGAGGCTGACCTGAATTGTGTTGATTCCCACAGGGTGACTCAGGTGGGCCGGTCATATGTGACAAAGGCCAGGTGGATGGAATTCTGTCCTTCAGCTCCAAGACCTGCATCAATGTTTTTAGGCCCCCCGTGGCCACTGCCGTGTCCCCCTATGTGCCCTGGATCAGGAAGATCATCGGCCGCTGGTCACCCTAGCCTCTAGTTTGATACTCAGGGCGATGGGAAGGTCGGGCATGGGACGTGGGACGGGGCTAGGTGTTTTGGAGGGCCAATAAATGGTGACTGAAGAAGAATGTCTGAGTCTGGAGCTAACTGACGTGGCCCACCTGCGGCCCATCTCAGTGTCCTTGTTGGATGGTTGACAAGGTCCCTCTCATGGTGACCCAGCTGTGCAGGTGCCAGAAGGGGGAAGGAAGAGGGCACTAGCTGGTACAAGGAGCTGCTAGGTGGGCAGGGGACATAGTTGTCATCAGCTACTGAGCCGGGTGAGGACGCTGGCACTCATAAGGAAAAGGACCAGAATGTCCTTCAAGTTTCTGTCAGTGCCCATCCTGGAGCTTGAACTGAGGGCTTTGTCTTTAGCTCTTTTGCTCAAGGCTAGTGCTCTATCACTTGAGTCACAGCGCCACTTCTGGTTTTCTGGTGGTTCATTGGAGATAAGAGTCTCACGGACTTTCCTTCCCCAGGCTGGCCTTGAACTGCGATCCTCAGATCTCAGCCTCCTGAGTAGCTAGGATGACAGGTGTGAGACACCAGTGTCCTGCTTCAGTACAATCAGTACAATCCAGAGTGGAGCAGCCACCTCTAATTCTAGAACACTCCATCACTCCAAAAGCAGCCTATTTCCAGGCAGCAATGGCTCACGCCTGTCATCCTCACTACTCAGGAGGCAGAGATCTGAGGACTGTAGTTCAAAGCCAGCTTCATTCGACAAGAAAGTCCATAAGACTTTTTTTTTTTCGGTCATGGGGCTTGAACTCTGGGCCTGGGCACTGTCCGTCAGCTCTTCAGCTCAAGGCTAGCGCTCTACCACTTAAGCCATAGCCCCACTTCCGGCTTTTTCTGCTTATGTAGTGCCAAGGAATCGAACCCAGGGCCTCATGCATGCAGGGCAAGCATTCTAGCACTGAGCCACCTTCCCAGCCCTCCGTAAGACTCATCTCCATAGCTAGAAGTGGTACTGTGGCTCAAGTGGTAGAGCACTAGCCTTGAGTTTTTAAGCTCAGAGACAGCTCAGGCCCTGAGTTCTAGTCTTAGGACCCAGTGTGCCTGTGTGCACACATTCAGCACACTCACAGAAGCAGCTTTTCAGAGCTACTCCCAAGTCTGAAGTCTTCAGAATAAGAAGCTGGAAGTATGCCAAAGCCATGTCAAAGATCAAAATTACCACAATGTAATTTAAACATCTTAATTGGCTTTATTTTGCCTTCTGTACTTTGTTCCAGAGACCCAGGTCTGGCCCCAAGCGGCTTCCTTCCAGGCTCAGGGAGGCCCGCCCTGCCTCTGCCAGCACTGGAAGCTCCTGGTAATTTAGGACAAGTGTTCCAAAGGTCTCAACATAAAAAGCCTGCTTTATAGAGCTGCTTTATAAAGCAGCCATGGCTGGACACAGTGGCTCACGCCCGCAATCTTGGCTACTCAGGAGACTGAGATCTGAGGATCACAGTTCAAAGCCAGCCCCGACAGCAAAGTCCATGAGACTCTATCTCCAGTTAACCACCAGCAAACCAGAAGCAGAGCTGTGGCCCAAGTGATAGGACATCAGCCTGGAACACAGGGGTAGCACATTAGCTCCAGGACTGACACAAACAAAACCAAAAACACACATTGACCGCCTATAGTTTTTAATTACATGAATGTGTGTTTGAGGTGTCAGATTCTCATCTCCTACACTTTATCTGGAAGTGGCATGTCCTGAGCTCCCAGTGGGAAAAATAGCCCATTGTGGAATCTGGCCGCATAATCCTGGAATTCACAATCTTCCTTCCTCAGCCCCTGCATGCTGGAATTACAGGCGTGTACTACCATGCCCAGCCTCACGTCACCTTTTCCACACACTCATCCTTCCACAGACATTTGGACCCTTTGTACCTCCTGCCATTATACACAGTCATAGTTTTTACTGCCCCTTTCTGAAGTGCAAGCCCAAGAGATGTTTGTGGACAAACATGGAGTTCCCAGCTCTGTGCTTGCTCTGGAGAGCAGCAAGAGGTCCCTTGAAGTCCTCTTAGTAAGGCCTGGTTAGAGAAGGTAGAGAAGGAAGCAGCCAGCAGGGCTGGGGCCACTGGCTCCCCTATTCCCCAGCAGGGTCCTAGGAAAGCTCCAGCTGGGTACAGAGGAGAGAAGGCGCATGGCGTGGAATGGGAAAGTAGTTTATCTGGCTGTGTGGTCTTCTCAGCTGATCCTGGGGCCCAGGATGGTCCCTACCCAACTCAGTGAGCCAGCTGGAGCCCTGGGGCTGAGAGACAGTATGGCTGGGCTAGGCCACAACCCTGGACTGTGTACAAAACTCCCCTGCCAGGGGGGTTTTCAGTTTTGTTTTGATTTGTTTTGGTGCTGGTCCTAGGGCTTGAACTCAGGGCCTATGTGCTATCTCTGAGCTTTATGTATTTATTTTTGGTTGGTCATGGGGCTTGAACTCTGGGCCTGGGAGCTGTCCCTCAGCTTTCTGCTCAAGACTAGCCCTCTACCACTTGAGCCACAGGGCCACTCTGGTTTTCTGAGTGGTTTATTGGGGATAAGAGTCTCACGGACTTTCTAGCCCGGACTGGCTTTGAAATGTGATCCTCAGATCTCAGCCTCCTGAGTAGCTAGGATTACAGGTGTGAGCCACTGGCGCCTGGCCCCGAGCTGTATTTTTGCTTAAGGCTAGCCCTCTACCACTTGAGTCACAACCCCACGTCCAGCATTTTTGGTGGTGACTGGAGATAACAGTTTCTCTGACTTTCTTGCTTCAAGCCATAATCCTCCGATCTCAGCCTCCTGGGTAGCTAGAATTACATCATGAGTCACCAGTGTCTTGTTTTTTTGTTTTTGAGGCAGGTGGAGACGCTGGGAGCTCAACCCCAGAGGCAGAGGCCCTAGCCCCAGGTCTCAGGTACACTGAGCTCCAGGAAAGTCCTTCCTGCCTCTCAGCGTTGAGTGTCACTGGGCTTGTGGCTCTGTCACCCATGTGTACCTCACCTGTCACACCCTCTCCCTGTGTGGAGTCACTCCTCTTGCATTAGGATTCACCTTCCACCCCTCCTGAGCTCACCACGTCTGCATAAGCGCCATCTCCACCTATAGTCCTGGTTTGAAATTCTCAGGATACCTGAGACTAGGTAGACCTCACTCACCTAGGAGAGGCACAAACACTGGACACCAGGCTTGGCTCCTCAGCCCCAAGCCACATACCAGGCCGAGCTATGAAGAAGGTGAAGGCAGACTGGAACCTGGGCTACTCCACCATGAAGAAGAAGTTCAGAAAGGCCAAAATGGGGGCTGTGGGAGAATCTGGCCCACAGTGAGGTCAGAAGGCCCGGGCTGTGAGCACCTTCACCTCTGCATCTCTTTCTGATACTGGAGGGACCCAAGCACCAGAGGGTTTGGGCACAGGGTTGGAGCTCGCAATGCCTGTCATTGACTTCCAAGTTGTTCTGAAGAAAAGTGGAAATGAGAGAGACAGATAAGACCAACACTCAGAGCCTACACCTGGGGCTCCTGTCTGTCATCCCAGCTACCCAGGAGGCTGAGATCTGAAGATTGTGGTTCAGAATCCGCCCAAGTAGGAAAGATCTGTAAGACTCTGATCTCCAATTAACCACCAAAAAGCTGGAAGTGGAAGATGGAAATGTGACTCAAGTGGTAAAGCATCTGCCTTGAACAAAAAAAGATCAGAGACAAACTAGGCCCTGATTTCAAGCCCCAAGATCAGCACATGAAATAAAGGGAAAGAGAAACAAAAAGAAATAAAAGGCAGAGACAGACATGGACAGAAATAGAGATAGAAACAGAGACAGTGCATACCTGTAATTCTAACCATTCAAGAAGTTCCAAGCCAGCCCACGCAGGGTAGTCTGTGAATCCTTTATCTCTACTTATGCACCAAAAATCTGGAGTGGAGCTGTGACTCAAGTGGCAGAGCACCAGCCTTAAGTGAAAGCTAAGGGACAAGAGCCAGGCATAGAGCTCAAGCTCCAGAACCAGCATCAAAACAAAACAAAATAGAAAAGCTGGGCACTAATGGCTCACGCCTATAATCCTAGCTACTCAGGAGGCTGAGATCTGAGGATCGCAGTTCAAAGCCAGCCCAGGCAAGAAAGTCCATAAGACTCTTATCTCCAATAAACCAGAAAACTGGGAGTGCCACTGTGGCTCAAGTAATAGATTGCTAGCCTTAGGGCTGAATTGCTGTGGGACAGCACCCAGACACAGAGTTCAAGCCCCATGACCGACCAAAAAAAAGAGAGAAAAAAAATAGAGAAATAGAGACAGATGGTATGGGAATGTGGCTTAGTGGTAGAACACTAGCCTAGCATGCATGAAGCCCTGGGTTCGATTCCACAGTACCACATATGGTGCTGTGGCTCAAGTGGTAGAGTGCTAGCCTTAAGCAAAAGAAACTAAGGGACAGTGCTCAGGCCCAGAGAAAGAAAGAAAAGAAAGAAAGGAAAGAAAGAGAAGGAAGGAGAGGAAAGAAAGAGAAGGAAGGAGAGGAAAGAAAGAGAAGGAAGGAGAGGAAAGAAAGAGAAGGAAGGAAAGAAAGAGAGGAAAGAAAAAAAAGGAAGGAAGGAAGGAAGGAGAAATAAAGAAAAATAGAGATAGAGGACTAGGTGCTGGTGCTGGTGGCTCATACCTGTAACTTACTTGGGAGGCTGAGATCTGAAGATCATGGTTCAAAAACAGTCTGTGCCCCCCATAAACCCGAGACTCCTTTTTTTTAAAAAAAAAAATCCTATTTTTCCAGGTGCTGGTGGTTCACGCTTGTAATCCTAGCTACTCAGGAGGCTGAGATCTGAGGATCACAGTTCAAAGCCACCTCAGGCAACAAAGTCCATGAAACTCTTATGTCCAATAAACCACCAGAAAACCAGAAGTGCTGTGGCTCAAGTGGTAGAGCACGCATCTTGAGCTGAAGAGCTGGGGGACAGCGCCTGGGCCCAGAGTTCAAGCCCCACAATCAAAAATAAAAATAAAAATCCTATTTTATATCACTATTAAGGAAAATGCTTTGCAATGTTTACACAATGAAGTAGCCAAGAGACTCTTCAATTAACCAGCAAAATACTTGGCCGGCAGGTATGTTTCAAATGGTAGAGAACCAACCATGAGTGAAAAGCTGAGAGAGCAGAAGGCCCTTCAGTTGAAGCCCCAATACTGGCCCGAAAAACAAAATCATAAGGACAGAAGGAGATGGAGAAACAGAAAGAGGAAGAGGAGGCACATGTGCCGAGACAGAACCAAATCCTCCTAGCTAAGGAATCCGGGTGAAGGGCACTGACCGGTCATTCACTGCATTGATGTTATGATTTCTCTGCAGAGTGAGGACTTTTCAAAGTTAACAGTTGGAAAAAGAAGAAAGCACCTTCCTGGCATTTCCATTTATCAAATGCCTGGACAACTGGTCAACTCTGTGAGGGGCTCCCACGGCCCCTTGCCATTGCTTGGCCAATATATTGGTTCCTTAGAAGACACACGCTTTCGGGCTGGGAAGGTGGCTCAGTGGTAGAGCGCTTGCCTTGCATGCATGAGGCCCTGGGTTTGATTCCTCAGCACCACATAAGCAAAAAGAAAAAAGCCGGAAGTGGCGCTGTGGCTCAAGTGGTAGAGTGCTAGCCTTGAGCTGAAGAGCTCAGGGACAGCGCCCAGGTGCAGAGTTCAGGCCACACAACTGGCAAAAATAAAAAAGAAAGAAACATGCTTTCCTGAGCATGGAGAGGGAGAGGATCCCTGATGTGCAGCTGGAAGGCCTGGGAATCTGAGGATGATGGAGGATTTGGGGTGCACATGTGGTCTCTGTCATTTTCCTGGGGGAAAGAACAAATGAAAGCCAGGCATGATCGCACACATCTTTAATCCCAGTACTTGGAGACTGAGGCAGGAGGCTCTTGAGTTAAAGGCCAGCCAGAGAGATAGCATAGCATGACCCTTATCTCAAAAACAAAAAAAAGCCAGGTACCAGTAGTTCAGGCCTGTAATCCCAGCTACCCAGGAGTTTGAGATCTGGGAATGGAGGTTTGAAGCCAGCCCAGGCGGTAAAGTCCATGAGACTCAACTCCAGTGAACCAGCAAAAAGCCGTAAGTGGAGACGTAGCTCAAGTAGTAGAGTGCCAGCCTTGAGTGAAAAAGCTCAGAGACAGTGCCCAGGGCCTGTGTTCAAGCCACAGTGCCAGCACCGCTTTCCCCCACCACACATAGACAAAAGTTGGAAAAGCATTTTAACTGTTGGTTTCAGCCAGGCTCAGAAGTTCATGCTTGTAATCCCAGCTATTTGGGAAGCATAAGCAGGACAATGGTAGGCCAAGGCTTCCCCAGACAAAACTTTTGAGACCCTACGCAGAAACATACCTAAAGCAAAAAAGCCTGATTTGAAGGTGAAGTGGTAGAGCACTTGCCTAACAAGTGCACAAGGCCCAGAATTCAAACCCCAGGAAATACATATGCAAACCCTAACATATATCTATAAATAACTTTTATGTGTGTGTGACAGTCCTGGGGCTTGAACTCAGGGCCTGGGCTTTTGTGCGCCACAGTTCCACTTCCAACTCTTCCGTGATTCATTGGAGGTAAGAATCTCCCAGACTTTTCTGCCTGGGCTGGCTTTGAACCACAAGCCTCAGATGTCAGCCTCCTGGATTATCTAGGATTCATGGCACGAGGCCACCAGCACCCGGCTGGCTCTTTTTTTTTTTTACTCCTTTAAACCTGGTTAGTCCTGGAAGGCCGAGGTAGAGCAGAGAGCTGAGGAGAGCTGGCAGTCCCTAGGCCATGCAGGGATTATGAAAGGACTCCCAGGGAGGGGACCAGAAAACTAGACCTTGCCAGAGGAGGCAGGGCTTAAGTTTATACACAAAGCCTTCCTGACAGCCCTGAGATTTCTGAGGCCAGGCAGAGGGACCCAGGGCAGGAATTCCTCCCAGCCTGGGTTGTTTATGACCTGGGGGCTTTGATGCCAGCTGGCTCTTCCCTGCTCAGCCCTCGATCTGCACGTAGCTTCTCACTGTCCTCTGTGATTTTCAAGCTTGAAGGCCCCCGGGCTGGGGGCTCCCAGGATGGGGGCATAGCTACTCTCCCATGTACATGGGAGCCCTTTGCCAGCAAAGCCTGGCTCTTCATCGCCAAGCTCTGTTCTTGGCTAGGATTGGATGGATTGGCATCTTACCCGGGCTTCTGCACTAAATGCCACTCTTACCCACAATGTATCCTCCTGTGCCGTTCCTGGACTTTATCATGTGTGTCTTCCCTCCCCACAACAGTCCACCCCTCCACTCACACAGGTGCTAAGGCCCTGCTTATATTGTCCTACTTACCCATACTAGGGATTGAACTCAGGGCCTGGGCACTCAGGGCCTGAGCTTTTTTGCTCAAGGTCAGCACTCCACCACTTTGAACCCTAGCCTTACTTACAGTTTTGTGTTGGTTAATTGGAGATAAAAGTCTCAAGGACTTTCCTGCCTGTGCTGGTTTTGAACCATGATCCTCAGCTCTCAGCCTCCTCAGTAGCTAGGATAACAGGCGTGAGCCACCATGCCCAGACTTATTGCCTCTTTCATAGCTGTGATGGTAGATATGTTCCACTACACCAGGCTCGTTGCTTGAGATGGAGGTCTCATTTTTGGTGCAAGCTAGCTTCAAACCATAATCCTCCTGATGTCTGCTTGCTGTTGATCATTTTAAATTGGGTTGCTTTTTTTTTTTTTTTAACCAGTCCTAGGGCTTGAACTCAGGGTCTGGACACTGGCCCTGAGCTGCTTTTGCTCAAGGTGAGCACTCTACCACTTGAGCCACAGTGCTACTTCCAGCCTTTTCTGAGTAGTTTACTGGAGATAAGAGTCTCACCAACTGACTTCCTGACCAGGCTGGCTTCGAACTGTGATCCTCAGATTTCAGCCTCATGAATAGCTAGTTTTACAGGCATTAAACCAGTAGTGCAGGCATGGATACATTTCTTTTTGGACAATATCACCCCTACCCTTGCTCTCTCCCAGTTTTCCCTGCCCTCTCGGTTCCCATACACCTCTGTGTAGCTCTTTTTTCTTTTTTTCCAGTCCTGGAGCTTGAACTCAGAGCCTAGGCACTGTCCCTGAGCTTCAGTACTCTACCACATGAGCCACAGTACCACTTCCAGCTTTTTCTGTTTATGTGGTACCAAGTAATTGACCCAGGGCTTCATGCATGCCAGGCAGGCACTCTACAACTGAGCCACATTCTCATCCTCTATGTAGCTTTTCACCTTGTTTGTTGTAGTTGGTGGTGGCGATTTTAGTTTGTGCTGGTACTGAGACCTGAACACAGGACCTCATGGTTTTTCTTGGCTTTTCCAATCAAGGTTAGCACCTGGGCCACAGCTCTGTTTCTGATCTTTTACTGGTTAATTGGAGATAAGAGTCTCAGGGACTTTTGTGTCCAGGCTGGCTTTGAACTGCAATCCTCAGAGTGCAGCCTATTGAGTAGGATTACAAGCATGAACTACCATCACCTTTTTTTTTTTTGCCAGTCCTGGGACTTGAACTCAGGGCCTGAGCACTGTCCCTGAGCTTTTGTGTTTAGGTCTGGAGCTCTACTACTGGAGCCACAGCTCCACTTCTGTCTTTTTTGGTGGTTAATCAGCAATAAGAATCTCATGGACTTTCCTGCCTAGACTGGCTTGGAACCAGCATCCTTAGATCTCAGCCTCCTGAGAGCTTGGACTATAGGTCTGAGCCACCAGTGCCCAGCCCTTCTTTTGTTTTTTGTTTATTTTTTTT